TCACCAAATTAGTTCAAAACGAGTAGTCAGTACACAGAGCCAAAGAGAGATTGTCAAGGGGAGAGCTATTTGCCTCCGAACTGACTACAGAAGTTCTTCTATGCCAAACCTGGATCTGACAGAAAGCTTCTGAGATACATGGAAGATCCTTGCCTGAGCTAAGAGGCTTTCAGTGTGCAGTTGACAGCCCAGACAGTGAAACTCCTAAGCTGATGGCATCTCTTGCAGGACAGTGGCTTGCCCAGGCTGACTGTGCCTGCCAGCTGCATTGTTTGCACTGACAAATTTCTGAAATCTCTACAGATTGCACGACTTACCTGAAGTAATGGGGTGCTCCAAGGTGGTGTTAGGCTGAAATCATGCACCTGGAATATGCTCCAGTTCTGGGAACCAGAAACTGGATCTTATAGTTTGATTTGAAATTTCACCTCTCCTTATGGCTCTTACATTAGAAATGTAAGAGCTTTTTTGTTGTTTTTATCCAGAAGTTAATGGAGCTTTGTTTCCAGAGGTTTTACAAGAGATGCTAGATCTCCATGAACTATATAGCTGGTAGCCACAGTTTTCCAAGTCTTGAAGGAACTTCCATTGCTCAAAACATCAATCTTAGCAACAAGTGCTCAGTAGTCTTTGACTTTTTCTCAAAGCACCTTTCTTAGCATCTGGACCTTCTGGACCTGCTTGACTTTTTCTTGGCCAACAGTTTCCTCCCAGCAATCATAAACCATCAGGAGTCCTGTCTGATGATGCTGGGTTTGTCCCTTGTTTTTCTGTCACAGATCCTAAGGCTCCTCTGTGGTCTCCAGCAGTTTTGGATGACAAATAACATCATTCCTTGATAACAGCCTCCGTCACAGGGCTGCATTCAGCATTTGATTAACTCGCAGGACACTCACTTGGGGTCCACTGCGTTAACCCCCGTGCAGATATCAGATTTTTAATGGCACCATGATGGCAAATCAATCGATGCATTTTCAGCAGTCTGATAATAGGTAGGTTCAAGTCTTCACCACTTATCTAACATAAGCAGCTGAAAGACTGACCTGACATCCAATGGAAACCTTCCAGCCAGGCATGATAATAACCTGAATCTGGGAATGACTGGTGGCAGAGAGAGGCTGAGCAAAACAACTGAATAATATGTCAGAAGCTGTGCTTTCCCAATAGCCTTTGAATACACACCAATCATGGGAAAAGCAGGTTGATAACTATTCAAGATTAAGGTAGATCAACAGCAATGTCAAGAAAATCAGTAGCAGACGAATGAAACTTTCCCATCCTCGTTGATCAGAAGGTGAGTCTTTTCTTGTACACGCTGAGCTGACTGCTGCCATCCACCCCTTTGCCCCTTTTAAAGTAAGCGGATGCAGTCTGCTCCTCGTGGTTTTAATTTATATCGGCTCTGGAACTACTGTTAAGGTGCCTGCCAACATGTTAAATGAGGCCCTGTGCAAAGTGCTTGACACTGGTACTTGAGAACTTGTGTTTTTTATTTATAAATGTGTGGGGAGACTACGAGATGCTGACTCCAAAGGTCTTAAAGGACATGGGACCGGCCTGAAAAAGTGCCAGTGTTGCTTGCAGTTAGATCCCAAAGGGCACCTGTCCTGGTTTTGGCTCAGCTAGAGTTAATTTTATTCCTAGTAGCTGGCATGGTGCTGTGTTTTGGATTTAGGATGAGAATAATGCTGATAACATGCCGATGTTTTAGTTCTTGCAGAGCAGTGCTCATGCAGAGCCAAGGGCTTTTTGGCTTCTCACACCACCCTGCCAGTGGGGAGGCTGGGGGTGCACAAGGAGGTGGAGGGGACACAAACAGGACAGGAGGCTCAGACTTACCACGAGGATGTCCTACACCATAAAGCGTCATGCTGAACAATGAAGGTGTGGGAGGCAGGTTGGTGGTGGGGTTGTTGTGTGTGTTGCTGATTGGGGTTTGGCTGGGCATCGGTCAGCATGTGGTGACTAATTGCATTGTGAATCACTTGCTTTGGATATTCTTTTATCATTGTTTTCCTTTGAGTTTTTACCCTTTTTTTTCTTTTCTTTTTTTTTTTTTTCCTCCCCCAATTCTCTCCCCTATCCCATTGTGGGGTGAGCGAATGGCTGCATGGTGCTGGGTTAAGCCCCTACAGCACCCAAATCCAACCCCTGCATTGTGTAGTGAAGATGAGGAAGCTGGCTGGACAATTCCATAAGAGGTCAGAAGCACTTACTGGTCTGTATTTGCTGACTTCTGGGATAAACTCCAAGGGCTCTTTATTCCCTGGCTCTCTGGAAAAGAAGTTGAAAAGCAGAGAACCCACATTTGGGGACACAGCTATTAGAGAAGATCTTGCTGTTTGTGAATGTGATGCTTGACATTGTGATCCAATCAATTTAAATATCTAGAAGGGCACAGAGATTCCATGTATGTTTTATGTTTTCTTCTCCCTTTATTTATATTGAACAAGTCATTGCTCTACTCCAACCAGTCTCTAAATAACTTGAAGAGAACTGCTAGTGCATAGATTCTCCCCTTGCTACTTATGACTTCTACCCATTGGGCACATGCTTGTAGCATCATTTGTCATTCAACTGAGAAAAACTCTTTCAGCTCTGCTAGGGCTTTGAGTTTTGTTTTGTTGTTGTTTGTTTGTTTGTTCATTTCGTAAAAGTGATTAAAAATTAGATTTCTCAGGCTGGGCTTTCTCTGCGTCCTTTCAGTCAACAGTCAATGAAGATAACTTGAATTGTGTTGCCATACCTCCTACCACCTCCTGGACGTCAGTGCATCTTCCCTACCAACACAAAATCACTTCTGCTCTCGCCGGGGCCACTTTCTCTGATTGCTCTCCACCGACTGTTACAAAGATAGCTGCCCTCATCTCTGACCTTGGCTTTTCTTTCCCTCACTCCAGGACTGTCCGTCCTCCTCCAGCTATCTTCTTACAGCTAATGAGTCTCTTCATTCATTTATTCTGTCTCCTTGCAAGTATTTTTAGACTGTGATCATCTCCCTTGAGTTTGCTATTTCTTAAAGATGATAAATGCTGTTTCACACCACCTTTTCTCATATCTTTCCTGTGCCTTATTACTTGGGACTCTTCATATTTTAACTCTGTACTCTCTGAATATATCCAACGAAGCCTTTTTGCATGCAGGCCTTGAGGACTGCCCAGTACTGTGGTATGAAAAGGAGCGCTGCCTACTTCTTATTTTGTATGAGATTCTCACTGTATGTAAGAACAGCCTTTTACTGGTTAACTTCACATTTTCATTCCTCAGTTTGCTTTACATTGTCATTGCAAAGGATCCTGAGGCCTTAGAGGTGGCACTTCTTTTTTCAGATAGCCACACTTAAAATAGACAAGCCTTTCAGCATAAGTTTCTGGGGCAAGGACTTAGGCAACAGGGAGCTTTTCCTTCAACAGTTAGCATTACCAGAGAAGAACTGATGTTCACCTGATTTTCCAAAGCCCAGAAAATCATGAAATGTTTTATTTTAAAAAATGTTAGAAGTATTTAGGCATTGTCACAAGAAATCACGTTCTGAAATATTTTTGCTATTGCAGCCGATATTTAATAAAATGCAAATGATAAGTAACGTGTCTCTAAGCACAGAAAATGGGAAACGTATTTTTTACCCTTGCAAAACTTTAGAGCCATCAAGCATATTTAGCCAAGAATTTGTGACATTGCCATCAAGCTAAACCTTCATTTACTAATTCATAGCTAAGAGCAAAGGTTCTGTTTGGAGCTGTTGAGCTGTTACATTTTCTTCCCAAGGATTTCTACAAGAGAATGCACATGTATGAGTGGGAAGGGATGTCAGGGCAGCTGGATAGATAAAGAGCTGCTTTCTTTCAGCTGTTCCTGCAGAACTACTGCTCTGCCCCAAACAGGGCAGTGCACACAGCTAGGAATGAACAGACAAATAAGCCAATACGCAGGGTCACTGTAAGGTTATATTTTTATAGCTATTTCATCCCAGAGGATCATAACTGTAAAGGTTGCATACATTGGCAAGTCCCACCGCTGCTGCTGAAACCCAGCTGCCTGCTGCAGAGGAAGTGTTCAGCTGCACGAAATGGCGACACTGATTTGCAGTCAGGAGCACAGGTGTCTGAATATTCCTGGGGAAGCATAATTGGGTGAAGAATAATTTCAGAGAACCGTGCTGTGGCTGCTGAATTGGGATCCCTCTGGGCTTCAGCAAGGAGCGAGACTTTGCGGTGAGGGCAGACAGCTCTAACCCAGTACTGGTGTGAAGAGGTAGCAGGCTTCACGGACAGCTAACATTGTTGCCTTCATGGGGGCTGTCCTTGCAGGTGTCCCACCAAAACCGTGAGCTGGTCTTAGCGTGCAGCCCCCAAATAGCTCACCCCCCTCTCCCCCCGAGGCAGCAGCTCCGAGTGCCACAAGCTGCCCAAACTGCAGCATCAATCAAGTGCCAACAGCAGAGGGCAAGGATGTCAAAACATAATTTGTGCTGATGGGAGGAAGCTGCTGGCTGAAATCTTGGGAGCCTGTTGCCTTGAGAAATATCTGAAAAAGAAGTTGCATCAACCGGTCTGGGGAACGAGAATAATCCTGGAGGCTGTCCAAGGCGAGGTGCGTGGCACCAAGTGCTGGCTCAGCTTCCAGCGACAAGGTGACTGTCTGCTCACCTTGATGCCACCTTACCAATAAGGAATAATTTACTTAGAGATGCTGTTTGTGGGCAACGATAATACCTTAATTTTCCTGTAGCTTTCCATTGAGGTTTGTAGTGTAATTTATAAATAGCAATTAGAATGGGTCTCCAAGTTGCTTGTTAGATGCATTTTTAGATTGGGTCATTACATTAAAGTAGAAAGGATGAAAGGACTTGTCTAAAATCATATGATGAATTATTGGCAAACCAATAAGAAAATCCTGACTTTTTTCCTTCAAAGCGTTTGTGTATGTGGTGACAAACGTGGCTACTGCCATGTACAAAGACATCTAATGAACTGTTAAAAAGCACGATACAGCTACCATAAAAAGTCAAAACGCTTTTTATTGTTCACTGTTAGTGAAAATACAGCATATTACACATGGAAACAACGGTGCATTCATGCGAACACACAGTGTGGCAGGGCTTATATACTACAAGTTTTAATTACCCAGCTAGGGTTTGTTTTTTTTTTCAGTATATTTTCATGGTTATTCTGCTCATCACAACAGACTTTGTTTGTTATTGATCTGGACGTGTATGCAAGTGCGAAGCAGTGAAGGAAGGTTACGAAGCCTATAGGACTGCGTGCCTCTGCTGTGGCTCGTGAGAAATGCAGGAACACGAGCAGGTGCGCTCCTCTATCTGGGATGCATTGAGAGCATTTTGGAGGAAGGAAAACACATTTTTCACGGCTTATCAGCATACTCCCCAGCTTATTAAAGAGAAGCAACATATTCCTACCCAGCCCACATAACTTGATGGGTTTTACCAAAACAGTGGCTTCTTGTTGCAGCTGCTGGGCAGTCAGTCCAGCGCTACGATCCTGGTGGAGGAGTCGTGGCATCCTTTCTTAAGGCACCTATTAGCATAGGATCTCAGCACTGATCTCGGGGGCTGTTGCTGCAGCTGGAAAACAACTGACACATTAGGCTGATTAATCCCTGTAGTAATTCCATTAACCTCCTTAATGGAGTTATAACATGGATGAATTTACCCCTCTGCAGCAATGCGAGAGAATTGCCCTGGAGAGCCGGTAAATACGGTGTGGCAGGGATGTCTGAGGTAAATTTTTTCTTTTTTTTGTTTTAGTGCAAGGTGAAGCATGCTGATCAGCTGGAAAACCTCCCTGTCCTCTGGGATGTTGTGCTCCTCACAGCACTAATGGCTCAGGGGGCTCAGGCGCACCCGGAGGGCTCCTGGCACCCCAGCACCTCACCAGGCGTGCGGTTCCCTTTCTCCCTCACACACACAGCCTGATGATACATACGGCTTCCCAGACACTGCCTTTCTTTTCACCTTGGCGGTTTCCTCCCCCTGCACCTCTCTGCCTGAGGCTGATTTATCTGCTCGCTGCTCCCTGCCAGGAGGGCAGCCTGGCCTGGGCCGCGTCCCCAGGCACGGGAGTGCTGACAGCAGGCAGCAGAGCTGCAGTCCTGGCACGGGCTGTGCAGGGAGCAGGTCAAGGCAGAAGTGGAGAAATGCTGGATTTCTCTCTATTTTCCTCCTGCTTTCCTAGCCTGTGGGGAGAAGGTTTTCACGCTGCCATAGCCTGGTGCCTCACCTGCTCCTGTGGTGGCTCGACCGCACCGCAGCTCTGTCAGGAAAGGCCTCTCAGTGCTGGGAAGTTACCTCAAGTTTGGCAGAGCCGAAGGCACCCTGCAAGCCCGTCCCGAGGAGCAGAGGCTGTTTGTGCAGCTCCCACAGCAGCCCAGGCCCTCTGAAAGCTCCCTTACGGCCTGTCGGGGGGCACACATGGTGGCTGAGGGGGCTGGGGAGCCGTGGGGGGGCCTGGCCGGCTTCTCTGCGAGTTCAAAGCCTGTTGCCACGTTCGCAGGTGCAGTGATGGGGCTACTAAGCTGCGGTATCTCTTCATCTACGTGGTTTGTGATCTCTGTGTTAATACGCTGAGCTGATTCTGCCTGATTGCCAGCCCCTTCCTCCCACGGAGGCCGCAGTGCCGAGGGATGGGGTGGCCCAGCTCCTTGGGGATCCCGCAGGCAGGGGGAGAGCAGGGGAGGTGTCACCCACATGGGGTGCGTGCATGCAGGGTTATTTCCCTTTCTGCCTACGGTAGTCGCTTCCCACATTCAGCACGGGGATGAGAAGTCCTAGCAGCCACCTCTTGCCGAAGACCTCCCGCAGGTTCTCCCTCCAGGGCCGGGCTCTCACCACCACCCCTTTCCGCACCTGGTACCGCGTCTGCCCCCGTAAGATCAGCAGCATCTGGTGGCAGCAGAAGCCGGCACAGGCCAGTCCGATCCCGAGCCAGAGGTAGAGCATGAGGATGACAAACATCTCAGAGCTGAGGAGAGCGCCTGCGGACCAAGAGGCAGGGAAAGCGTCAAAGAAAGGCTTTAGGCACCCCTCACGTGTCAGAGTCACACGCAGCCCCGAGAAGCTGGCTGGCCCTATTTAGCAGCTGTACCGGTGGCGAGTTAGGAGAAAGGCAGGGTGGTTACTCTAACTACACAAAATTGTTTTCTTTGTAGTGCCTTTATTCAATGAACCCCACCGGGGAAGTACTAAAATAGTGACGGTCTCTGTAGACTTCTCCCTTTGCTGTTAACGTGAGGATCTGGATTGCAGGGGCAAACTCAGCCAGAAGTGAAAAGCATTTTATAAGAATTCAGCTCTATTTTGAAGAATGATTAAATTATTTAGGGGTCTGCCTGCTGATCAGAGGGAATCTGGAAAGCCTAGATTCCTTTTGAAGGGAGACGTGGGTCCTACAGCAAGTAGATGCTTCCAGAAGCCTTACTGTGTGCGTCAATACTAGACAGAATGATTTGGAGTTCATCACCATACCTACGTACAATCTATCTATCTACCTACCTATTCTATATATAATATATATATACATAATACATAAGATGATTAAAAAAAAATCAGTAATGACTTTCCTACCATCGTGCAAATGCAGTTTGCATATGAACACAAGAAACTGAAACAGAAAACTTCAAAATGCTATCCAAATTCCTTTTTTTTAAAGCTGCTGCCAGAATGCTCGAAATATTTTGTAGACCTAAAACTCTTAATTCAACGGTTTTTGTTGTGTGTGTTTATGCTGAATGTATTTATATAAAAATATTCTGTGGGCCCTTTCCTCGGCAATGATTTTAGAGCTCCTTCTGGAAAATAAGTATAATAGCAGTTATCACCAAGTGACCTTTTGGTGTGTAGGCAGATCTAAACCCATTGAAATAATATTCTCTCTGTGTGCATATGACTGAGTACACACATATTTTGTGTATATTGATATATTATTAAACACCCGTATTTGCACACAGGCACACAAAGGAAACGAAATATGTGTCACTACGTGAACAAATAGCTGGTATTATCTCTCTGGTTCCCTTGAGGTTAAAAATGAAAAAGCTGCTGCCTGCTGCCTTCCCTCTGGAGGAGCGTGGGTGACCAGAGCTCACCCCACGCCGGCGCGAGTCCCCCCGTGTTCCCAGGAGAGACGTGCTGCTGGAAAAGGGACTGCGTGCCAGGGGAGGTGTGCACGGCTGCTTTGGGTTTTAATTCAGTAACAGGGGCCTGGATAGGCACCTCTTGCTTCTCTTACACAGAAGGCCATGGTAGGTGGTGTCACCTGGCTCTGTGGTCCATGAATCCCGGCCTCTCCAGCTGGCAGTGTGGGCAGCGAGCGGCTGGGGCTGACCCGTGACAGGCGCTCACACTTTGGGCTCGGCCAGCAGGCCCCTCTGAGGATGATTCGTAAGGACACTGACTACAGCCTCGAGCTGTCAGAGATTGTTCTCACTTGAAAAAGGCACCGGAGTCATTCAATTTTCATTCTAAATGCAGAGTCATCTTTCCCTTCTCATTAGATCCCATTCAGCTCAGTGGGCTTCGTGTGCAATACGGCACGGGGAGAACAACCCCCCCCAGGATGATGACAAATCCTCAGACCAATTCTGTCGGAATCACTTAGGGCATCAGATGGGAAGTCCAGAGCCAAATTTGGGCTTCTCTGACCTTCTTTTGCTGGACCTGAGCGTGACAGGCACGTGTTCCCTTCTGCAGCTGACATTCAGATGGGATGTAGAGAGAGACAGCTATTTTCTTTAGAGCCTTTGGAAGACAGCCGTAAGCTTTATTTCTATGAGCTGCCGAAATTCAACATCAAGTAAGTAATTACCCTTGTTTTTCCCCTTGCAAATATTAAGCATACCTCAGCCATATTTTCCAGATATGTGAATTTTTTAACCTGGTTTTCAGGTTGCCCACAGAAAGCATTTCTTTGTGGCTCCAATCTGACCTGTATTTACAAAAGTACTCTCCATTTGTCCCTTCTCACCATGGTCCATTTTAGTCTTGGATTCACTTTTGCTCTAACTGACCTGATGTGATCTCGAGCTTATTGCCATACATTATCTTTGCCAGAAAAGCTGAATCACAAGCTGAAATTATAGACTCTGGGTCAGACTCTGAATTTCATGCCTGAGCACAGTCTAGGCAGAACAAGCCAAGTGAAAATTTTCCCAGCATGGAAGCAGGGATCACTCAGTTGACACAAGACCAGCAGACTCACCTTTGGTCCTCTTTCCCTCTTCCCTAGTGTCAAGGGCACGCTGGAGAAGAGGAAAGGTAAAGTTTTTTCTTTGTTATAGCAATGCTCCGTTTGGATCCTACCACAACCCATAAGTTATGTTAGCTGCATAAGAGAAAGACTACGTGGACAATCCTCCCTGGCTTCTTTTTCCTGAAATTCATTCAAACAAAATTTATTTTGTTGAATGTGCTGGGGGGAACCCAGAGGGCCCTTCCTTCCCAGGAGCCAAGACACCACTTGCCTGTGTATTGCTGCATGCTCTCACCCTGGCCGAGGCAGAAATTGTGTGGGATCTGGGTGCTGGTGCCTCTTGAGGGCATCCAAGCTCCCTGCCCTGTCGTGTCCCACTCAAACACTGCCAACATGCTGTTGGCACTGCAATTGCTGACACCAGGGCTGGGGCACTTCAGTGGCTCTTCAGACACACGCCAGGACCCAGCTCGGTGCAGATGAGCCCAGAGAATCAGGGAGAGAGAACTAATTCCTTGATAATCTCCTCCCACATCCCTGCTCCCCCTTCCAGACTGATGTGCCGAGCAGAGCTTAGGCACTGGGGAAAATCATGCCCAGTGTTTTTAATGTTACCGAAGCTAACATTATTCACAAAAATTCTTCTACTTGGAAAAATGACTCCATAAAAATGTCATGGCAGGATTTCGTGTTTATTGTCTCTCGGTGATTACCATGACAAATCTGCTCATTTGCCAAGTAGAGAGATATTTGTTTGTTTTCAGGCGGCAACCCTGCAAACCCAGCCTGGAATCCAAAAAGCAAGCTGGGGCTTCTCTGGCTCTTGTACCACCAGCAATGGAGATCCCACACTCAGATCATAATCAACACTTCTGGTGGTGGTGCATGAGCCAAAACAGACTCGGGGCCCTTCTTACTGAGCTCGGCTGAATCTGCAAGGCTAAAATATATGGAGTACCTATTTTAGGCTAACGAAAGCTGATCTGAGTGTGCTAGGCATGAGCTGCGTGTGGGGGAAAATGACATTTTTCTGCTGTCACTTTCGGGACAGAATAACAGTCTACGCTGTCTGCGGAGTCGCTTCTCCCAGCTCGGGTTTTATCTAGCTCTTAGGTTTGGGCAGAGAAAGGGAGGAGGTTGGAGAGTTTGGGGACACGTTGACAGGTGGAGAGATGAGGCTGGGAGAGCACGGGAAGAGTTATGGGAGCAGAATCAGGAGGAGGAAGGGGGAGGCTTGGGGAAATTCACAGGAGGGCAGGAAGAGAGGGGAAATCAGGAGGAGAAGGAGGGTAAGGGATGGTGAAAGGAAAAGAGTTTTGCTTTGGCTGCAGAGCTCTTCCAGAGAACAGGCAGAGAGGATTTCTCCTGGTTCTCTCTGGAGCTGTGTCCCAGCCTAAGCTCAAGAAAGAGATAGCTGATCACATCACATTTATAAACTCCCCACTTGGTCTCTTGCCTGAACCCAAATTCTCCGCACTGGGAAGACGGCAAGGTCTCAGCAAGTTTGTGCTGAAGGGAGACAGGAGATGGGTGACGGTGAATGGAGTGAGGGTGTGAACCTGGATGGAGAGAATGGGAATATCTCTGCTGGGATATGGGGGATCTTCAGACTTGCAGGCTGTGAAAACCCACAGACCCACCACCTCCGCCTGTAGGACAGGCAGAAGGTTCCCCTCACCTACAGTACCTGCAATGAGTGAAATCTCCCTCCTCTGTCTCAATGCAACGCTCCCTGGACAACAGACAGCCCTATTCCATCACCGGCCAGCTGTTTTTGGGGTGTTTTTCAGCATCTAACCCATTACAAACAGGGCTGCAGCTGTACCCTAGAGTGGGTCCCAGCCTCTATTTCAAAACACAGTCCTGTGCAAAGTGTCCCTAGCCGCTAAGAGGGGTTTGCTGAACACAGGCAGTTCTCCCACGCGCCCATTCCCCCCTCTAGCAGCCCCACACACAGCCACCAGGGAAAGAGCACGTCCCCCTGCCCCGGGGCCCTGCTCCCACCTCCTTACCTGAGAAGAACTGGCTGATGGAGTGAGGCAGAAGGGTGAGGAAGGCCAGCGGGCTTGCGAAGGACATGGAGAGTGCCGCAGAAATGTAAGCCATGCCTGCCACCAGGGAGTCGAGGCAAGCCAGGGAGGTGTAGAGGCAGAACATGATGAAGTTCCGCATGTTCCTGCTCCCGATGCAGTTCCCTGTGAAGAAACAGTGGTGGTCATGCCTCTGGGTGACTCTGGCACACAGTCTACAGAAGTGAGTGCTGGGCAGGGCTGAGCCAGGGGACCTGCTTCCAGCCAGCCAGTCCGCCACCACTTCGGCTCCTTCGCCCAAGTTTAAGCCCTTGCCCGAGTCCTCGGGGGAGCTCTGGATCACCAGGACGTAGTTGCCCAGGGCATTAGCTGAGAGGAAGAGGAAGAGGGCCCCATGCAGCAGAGCAGGAGAGAAAAGTGGGGTGGTGGAAGGGTCTCTGAACATGCTGGGGATGAAGAGAAAGATCTGGAGGACGAAGGTCACTAGGGAGATGCACAAGAAGTAGGCTGGAGCAACAACATTGAGCAACCTGAGAACTAGCATTGCGGATTACGTTCCTGCAGGGGAGAGCAAGGAGAGGACGAACATCACCGCTCCGGCCGCACACTTCATCCTTCCATTTCCAGCCGGCTCCCCGGCCCCGCTCGGCTCCGGGAAATGCCCCTGGGGGGGGGGCAGCTCTCCCTCGCCGCCTCCCCGCGGCCCCGGGACCAGCGGGCAGCCCCCGGGCACCCCCGGGCAGCCCCCGGGCGGCGGCCGCTCCCCGGCCCCGGTGGGCTGCGGGGGCCGGAGGGGCAGAGCCGGCGGCTCCGTGTGCCTGCTCGCCGAGCAGAGTCCCTCTGCCAGGCAGGGTCAGTTTTGGTATTGCATGAGAGGAAAAAAGGTGGTGCTGGAGGAGGGGGGAGTGAGCCGGGAGGGGAGGGTTGGGGGGGGGGGGGGGGAGGAGAAGAAGGGGAGGGGGGAGAGGTTGCTCTAATCCACTGCAATACGGATCAAATCCGATGCTCTAATTTATCCTTTAAAGCCACGGATCTACAGATTACCTCTCTGACCGCTGCCCTGCTCTGCACGAAATTAGAAAACGCTCCCAACAGCTGGGCAAGTGCCGCCCGGCTGCAACCTGCGGCGCTGGGCTACCGAGCCGGGGCGGCCCCGCAGCCGCAGCCTCGGCTCCGGCCGGGCACGGAGCATCTCCGGCGGCTTCCCGGCCCCCCCCCGGGGCTCCCCGGGGCTCCCCGGGACTCTCCCATCGCTCCCCCGGTCCCCCGGGGCTCAGCCGGCACCCCGCGGAGGCAGGAAAGGCCGGGGACCGGGGGCAGCGCGGAGCCAGCCCGGCACCCCCGGCACCCCCCGCCGCCTGCCCCAGGGGTCTGCAGAGCCCCGGCGGCCCGGGGGGGGGCTGGCACCCGCCGCACGCCGCCACCTTGCGGTCCCCTTGTCCCCGGCGAAGCTGTCTGGCACCCCCGGAGCCGCCGCCACCGCCCCCGGCCACGCCGAGCCCCCCGCGGCAGCCGCCCCTGCCCCTTGTCCCCCCTCCGTGTCCCCCCCGGGTCCCCGCCGCCCCCCGTCCAGCCCCACCGGCTCCGGGCTCCCTCCCCCGGTGCCCCCCAGCTGGAGCCAGCACCTGAAACAAGGGGAAATTCGGGGGGCAGGGGGGTGTCCCCGCGGGTCCGAGGCCTGCCTGGGTTTGCGGGACCCCCCCTCACCGAGCAGGGTGGCTGCCAGGCAAGGCTTGGGGTGGCACGGTGCTGGTGGCAGCGGGGCAGACACGTATTTCCCTCCGGCAGCTGCGTGCCCTCGGCCCCCTGTGCCCACCCACGCAGCCCCGGTGCCGTCTCCACGGGCGCTGTGCACAGCCCCTCGCTCTCCCGCACACCCACACGCTGCAGCCAGCAGCTCCGGGGGGGAGCAGCCCCGGCTGCCAGCTCAGAAGAGCCGCCCGAGGCAGGGGAAGGGGAGCGAAGAGGGCAGCGGGGCTGCAGACAACATTTCTGGAGACAGCCAGGCTCTGCACTGGTCAAAAGTCAAAAAAAAAGGTGGCTTTAGACAAATCGTAGGTCCTAGGCTTACTGGCCGACCCCTCAGCACACCCAGTAACAGGCTCTGCTTCCCCAGGAGAGACTCCCCCTTTGCCTGAATATAGAGAGCAAAATTAAAACGTGCTTCGTGTTGCATTGTCTAAGACCTGGAGGAGAGAGGGGCTGTGTTTGTCTCCTGCACGTGCAACAGCATCGGGTCGGTGGCAGCAACCAAGTTCAAGGGGCCTGTATCAGAAATATTTTTTTTCCACCAGATAACTTTCACAATTCAACATTTCTGAGAAAAACGGTGGCAATAAGAAAGGCAAGTGCAAACCAAGCCTGTAGCACCGGCTCTGCAGTGACAAGCAGCTAAGAGACACCTTCGGCAGATCTGGAGGTAAAGCTGCTCCGAAACGATCTAGCTCTCACTCCCACCTCCCTCATTCTCCTGTCACGACTACTGAGAATAAAAATCCTCCAATATTCCCTCAGCTCATCAATTTAAAGTAGAGTGAGCCTTGCAATAAAGATACGTGACCCAGCCAGGATTTTATCTTTCAATAATTAGGCAGTGTTTTCTCCATATTTTAACAGCTTACATCAAAATAATAATAATAATAAAATAATAAAACCACCACAGAAATCTTTTCATGTAATGAAAAGCTCTTAGACTGAAGGGACTGCATCTCATGAAAGCAATTAATCTTCCCTGTATAGGGAGCATAATAAGCTGCAGACAAAGGGGAGAAGGAAGGAAGGAAGGAAGGAAGGAAGGAAGGAAGGAAGAAGGAAGGAAGGAAGGAAGGAAGGAAGAAGGAGAAGGAAGGAAGGAAGGGAAGGAAGGAAGGAAGGAAGGAAGGAAGGAAGGAAGGAAGGAAGGAAGGAAGGAGGAAGGAAGGAAGGAAGAAGGAAGGAAGGAAGGAAGGGGAAGGAAGAGGAGAAAGGAAGAGAAGAGAGAGAAGGAAGGAAGAAGAGGAAGAGAAGAGAAGAGAAGGAAGAGAAGAGAAGAGAAGGAGAAGAAGAAGAGAAGAGAGAGAAGAGAAGAGAGAGAAGAGAAGAGAAGAGGAGAAGAGAAGAGAAGAGAAGAGAAGAGAAGAGAGAAGAAGAAGAGAAAGAGAAGAGAAGAAGAAGAGAAGAGAGAAAGAAGAGAAAAAGAAAGAGAAAAGAAAAGAAAGAAAGAAAGAAGAAAAAAAAAAAAAGAAAAAAAAAAAAAAAGAAAAAAAAAAAAAAAAAAAAAGAAAAGAAAAGAAAAGAAAAAAAAAAGAAAGAATCCCCTCCCTCCCCTCCCCTCCCCCAGCCCGCCCCTCCCAGACCCCGCCCAGAACCGACCAAGAAAAGAAAAGAAAAGAAAAGAAAAGAAAAGAAAAGAAAAGAAAAGAAGAAAAGAAACCTGCTTTGCACTGGAATAGAAAAATGGTGAAGCAGTTTATCCCCCACGTTCTCATTAAAATGCTCCTGCAAATTGCTGCTTATGATTTGTCACTGTCAAAATACTGGCTTCATATTTTAGAATATAGTAAAAAAAAAAAATCCTCATTCAGTGCTGTTGTGTTGATATGATGAGATGTTGGCAGGATGGGGGAGCGGTTGTCTGGGAATGAATTTGCCTATTCACGTGGATGTGTATGCATAAGAGAGAGATCAGTAAATAAGGAGATTAGCACAAGGAGTAAGTGAATAATGAGAACAGTAGTTAATCTGGAGCAAGCATTAAAAAGTAGCAACATTTGCTGCAGGAATTTGATTTTTTTTTTCTGCTGTGAAATCAGCGTCATGAGAGAGCTTGGATGTGTGACACTCAGAAATGTTAGCTCCTTATTCCTTCTCTGGGGAGACAGACCCAGGAGATGGAGTGCTTCCCCATCCTGCTTTCAGCTGCAGATAAATCATGCCAGCCCTGCGTTAGGACTTTCCTGTATTTCCAGTAGCGTAGGGATCAAGCTACATGCCTGTCTCTGGAAAACCTTGACAAGCGAGCATGAGGAACACCTGTAAGAACAAAGTGTTGTTGTTATTACCAGCTGTGCGGATGTTCTCCAGAAACTGGCACAGCACACTGCAGCCCCAGCCCTAATGCTGCTGAGTCTCAGCTCTCCGCTCTCCCCTGCTGCCCATGTGTCTGGAGGGGGTTTCTCTGGCATGGACCTTTTCCCAATATTCCCCTTGAGCAAGTGGGGTGGGAGGCCACTGGCAGAATCTGTGCAGTTGTCAGCTGGCTGGTGTTTTCATCTTCCAGCTCAATAACTTGGGCTACACTTGGTCACGATGACTGGCAGATGAACGTCTTGGTGGCTTGGTCCCCGGGTCCCCTGGTTCCTTGTGCTCAGCCTTTTTAAGCAAAATAAAATGCAGTTCCAGTCAGTTCCGTGCTCTGATACACCTTACTTAACTTCTTTCAAGGTCTCGCTTTAAATTGCATCCCAAATTATGTATCATTTCTTCCATCTCAAAAAGTGCATCGCTTCAGACAGCCCCATTAGTTTAGCATTCAAGTTGCAGCCTGATGGTGATTTTTCTCTAAAATGAGCAAGTTAATATCTGCTATTTGCTGTGATAGTTTGGAAGAAATGAATGCTCTCTGTGGTGAACCCAATGGTGCTTGCTTTAAATTATCATTTAAATATAAACCTTTTCAAGTTCTTGTGGGCTTTTTTTTTTTCTTTTTTTTTTTTTCTTCTCCTTTTCCAGTTAGTTAACTTTCAAGATGTGAATGCCTGCAATGTCTGGAGAGGTTTCCTCTTCGGTTAGGTAAAGTTGAATGGTCATTAAATGTAGCAGGAGAGGCCTGATGTCTTCAATCTAGCACTAAAACAAATACAGCATGGTTGGCAGCAGGGCTGAATGCTTTTATGCCGACCAGCTTCGGATCTGTCTAGGTGGCAACTTGAACACTGAGAGAAAGAGGGGGCTCGGTCCTTTCCTCGCTCAGCTCTTGGCTGTACTGCTGAGGGTGTCAGGATGGACCTGAACTCCCTGAATTAAGAAGCTAATACCAAGCTCCTTATTCCCTCAGTCTTCCCTGTTGGGTTGTGTTTTGGAAAACTCTGACGGAGCCTGAAGGACCCGGGGTGTTGTGTCTGAGAGCTGGGGGCAGCCAGCCCTGAAGTCGGGCAGCTTGACAGTGTAGGTTTCCATAGCCGGGTTTTAATCATTTTGATCTAGATTGCCAGTTGTGCTGCATCAGTTGTGCTGGGGATTTCAGCGAGGAGGACACTTATTAACAAGGGAAGAGACGGTAACTAAGCAGCTGACAGATGGTCATGACTTTAACACCCTGTCAAGCGCATGCTGTATCTGAAATTATGACTTGAGCACTTCTGCTGAACCTCTTTTTTCAGCTCCCATCTGGGCAATCTTCACCTGCCCTCCCCTTCTCCTTTCTTCAAGGACGACGTTGAGAAAGAGAGGGGTTTTCACACAGCCATGCTTCCTGCCTCTGCGTGCCAAGCTTTCCCCAGGTTAATTCAGCTGTTGTTTTCTCGCTACAAACCTCCCAGCTTATGATTCAGTGTAAAAGTAAGCCGGGAGGTAATGCCTGATTGTGCAAGGCATTTAGGCAGAGACATCTTATGATTCAGATAGTGCCATACATTGGAAACTGATCCAGACATTTCTAAAGTAAATGAGCAAATAAGCTGCCACCTAAAGACATACCCATGGCTTGCTGTATCTTTGTATTTGAAAGAGACATTTTCAGGCCAATAATCCATGTGAATGAAGAGGAGAAAGGGAAAGGAAGAAAAAAATGCATCTAGATCCCCAGTCTTTCAAAAGTGCTTGATCACCACCTCCTCCTGAGACAACACCCTACAGCAAATGGATTCCCAGCACTTAAGAAGGCAGAGTAAAAGGGTTATTGACAAAGGGTCAATTGTCTGCAAATG